TGTGGGTGTGTGTGGGTGTGTGTGGGTGTGGGTGTGTGTGGGTGTGGATTGGTGTGGGTGTGGGTATAGACGTGGCGCAATGAAAGTCCCACACCCACACCCACACCCCACACCCCTTTTTGTGCTCACTGTAGCGCTATGGGTTCGTCCCCTAGCTACATGCGGTCGGATACCGGTAGGGTTTAGAGGTGCACCAAATCCAAATCCAGTCAAATCCAAGCCTGGGTTTGACAGGATTTGATTAGATTTGAATTTCGGTTTGACTGGATTTCACTTGGATTTGAATTTGGGTTTGACTGGATTTGACTAGGTTTGACTGAGGTCTGACAGATCTTGAACAGACTTACTCTGGATTCGACTAGGGTGTGGGTGTGGGTAGGGTGTGGGCGGGTGTGGGTGTGGGTGTGGGTGTGGGCGTGGGCGTGGGTGGGGTGTGGGCGTGGGCAGGGTGTGGGTGTGGGTAGGGTGTGGGCGTGGGTGGGTGTGGGTGTGGGTGTGGGTGTGGATAGGGTGTGGGCGTGGGTGTGGGTGTGGGTGTGGGTGTGGGTGTGGGTGTGGGTGTGGGTGTGGGTGTGGGTGTGGGTGTGGGTGTGGGTGTGGGTGTGGGTGTGAAGTGTTCATGTAAGAAAGAAGAGGCCCCCACATCACCCGCACCCGCACCCACACCCACACCCACACCCAGCCACAGCCACAGCCACACCCACACCAACCCACATCCACACCCACCCACACCCACACCAACACCCACATCCTAATATCTTTACACCATTTGGTAGCATTTCTAAAGAGCTTTCACGTGATATATAAAATAAGTTGGCGGACCACTTCCTACTATATATAGTATGGGCTAACAATATCAGAAAGTGATCATTATGACAGTACTCATGGCATAATTACCCAATTAAGTCATAGTGACCAGCAATTTTTTTCTAATATTTTTACACTATCCGAGAGCATTTTTAAAGAGCTTTCAAATGACGTACTAGTTGATTCTATTATTGGTTCTTATAGTTGATGGTGATCATCTACTACCACTAGTACCTATGGTTTATATAGGTATAAAACCATAAGTTATAAATGACTGTCGTAAAAGGTCTGGATACTTCATAGCGATCTGATTTAGCTAGTAAAAAATTTTTGAGTCCTAATACTATTGTTTAGTATGGAATAATTGACATTTTTTACATAGGCCGATTTTCCTTCTTATCGATCCCCCTTCTTTCTCATAAAAGTTGATGAAAACAAATAGAGGCTGAAGAACCAAAATCTGAACTGGTTTTATAAAAATTTTAGCTAAATTTTTAGGAACGACGAAAGGGTTTTTGGAGTATATAATGGTATTCCATCCATTGAACTCCGTTCTATTGTAAAAAGAGCTATATTAAATTGGGTGTGGGTATATTATTCTTTCTAAGCTTACATTATCATGGATTGTATTTGAAACCATAACAGATGTGACAACATCTAACTTACTGTGTATTTGTTATTCTTTCTACCTTCATATCAGACACACGAAATAAAACATTTTCTTATCATTAAGATAATAATGCAAGCATGAATATGTTGTTAACTTTCATTTCTTCTTTTCATCACATGAAGCTATTCACATAGCCAAAGTTTGATATCGACTACTATGCGATGGATATGTGAAGTTGAATGTGAATCTCTCCATGACTACTAATTATGATTGCGAGTCTGAGGATTATATTTATGAAATCTGTACACCTTCATCCGCCAGTTCATGTCCTTCTTATCTTCCAATCTATAGAGATGCTTCCATGAATAAAAAGGAAATGATCCAGATTTACGAGCAGTTTTTTTCTTCTCTTTCAATCTAGATAAGTTCTCTCTATGCATTGACATATCAAATATCATTTAACAAGATATTGAATTGTAGTCAGTGTACAAATGATTGCACTTCACTGTGCTTCAATTAACTTATCTTGAAAAGACTACTTGTATCTATAGGCATGCTATCTTATGTGATATATTTTCTTTCTTAATGTTCTCTGATACAATCAATGATACGAATTGTTCATACTTTCGTTACTTTTACGTTCATCTATGCATGATTGATGTATATACTTTGTTCTTCAATAATGTGCTCTCTCCTTGACTTCATCGTCTGTCTTTTCATCTTCTCTTATTCTACGCGTATATAAAAACGTGCGCTCTATATCTAAAAGATAGTATTGCATTATATGAAGAAATTCAATGAAATGCAATACCTATAAACTCTAACATAACTTGTATCATCAGTCGTCACAAGACGATTCAATTCTACGAAGGAGAGGAATAAAGTGTAGCGCAATTCTAGCATTAAAAAATTCGTCTTCTTTGCTTCCGTTGTATTATTTTTTCTTTACACTATTCTTGCTTTTTTTCATATCAATAACTGGTAATGACTAATAATAAATCTGTGTATGATACTATCGGTACAAACTACGTCGAGTTAACAGAAAGCAGTTGGCGTCTTCCGATTGAAAATTATACCCTTCACAAGTGCATGCTGCAACCGTTACTAGATGAATATGGATTATTGACTGGTAAGCGTGTACTCGATTTAGCGTGCGGTCATGGTCTGTACACGCGTCAGTTGAAAGCATTGAATTGCGATTATATTCTCGGTGTTGACATTAGTTCAGAAATGATCAAATTTGCAAATGATATAGAATGTCAAGAATCGAAAGGTATCGAATACCAAGTTGCTGATGCCAAACAACTGAGAACTCCAGAGAAGTTATTCGATTTGGTTACTGCCTTCTATCTGCTTTGCTATGCTCGTACACGAGATGAACTTTTCGAGATGACACGCACGATCTATACACAACTTGGCGAAAACAAAACATTTCTAGGCTTCACTACAAATATAACGAATTATGATGAACCATTTGAGAAGACAAAATATGGAATTAGTCGACAGATTAATACTTCTCTAGACAAGAGACAAGTACCAGATGGAACACAAGTCTTTATTACTCTATATAATAAAAATGAGGAAAAACTATGTACATTTACAAACTATCATTTTTCAGCAGCGACCTATGAACAAGTTTTTAAAGAGTCCGGTTTCAAAACATTTCAATGGATACCATTTCGATGTGATCCCCAGTCATCAAATAGAGAGTTCTACAATGAATTTCTTCAATGTCCGAATGGAATCGGCATGATTGCAACAAAATAAAAATTTTCATCCATTCATTGTCTTTTCTTTTCATGATCTTTCTTCATGAAAGTCTAAGTTTAGTATATCGATTCGATTTTATTCGAGATGATAGCAAAACAACTTTTTTGCAGAATGAGAAAAGAGCTCTCGACAGATATTGTTTTATCAGAAATCTAAATGAAAGGCATCACGTTATAGTGTATTGTTGAAATAAGAGACATCCCTTTCGTGCCTGGGTGTGGGTGTGGGTGGGTGTGGGTGTGTGGTGTGGGTGTGCGTGGGTGTGGGTGTGGGTGGGTGTGTGGGTGTGGGTGTGGGTGTGTGTGGAGTGTAGGCGAGGGTGTGGGTGTGGGTGTGGGTGTGTGTGGAGTGTAGGCGAGGGTGCGGG